AAAAAAGAAAAAAAGCGCTTCCAGTATCAGGTTATAAGACTAAATAGTTTCTGTAAAAGAATTCACGAGATATTGTGGTCTGATAATTATATTAATATTAATTTAGCGATTAGTTACAGAAATGGCAGTGAGTTATAATTGTATTTATTTGTTTAGTGTTAAATGAAGGCATGATGAGTCGTCTGTGGTCGGTTCGAGGCTTTGGTCAAGCATGGCACTGGCTTCGAGAGAAGCGACGAGCTGAAAGCATGCCACTGAATGCATTCCTGACGTACATTACTCTTCCGTGGTCGACTGTCCTTGACGGTAAGCAACTCGAAACTAGTTTCAGGAAATTCACTAAATCAAGTTCAGTTTGTTACCGAGAGATTTACCGTTTCTTGCTGATTTCAGCGATATGGGATAAAGTTAAAGTATCTGCTGGATAGTTTTCAGAAAAATGGCTATTTTAGATTTACTTATGGAACGACCTCGCCGACCAATTCTTACTTTTGACCTGGATAACTTGGAAGTGAAGTCTGACCAGTAATATTTAATGGTTTAAATTTTTCAGATATTGTTTTTGAGAGCTTTTTATATGTGAGGTGTTAATTTATTCAGTTTTTACTTATGTATTATGAAACACACTTTGTCTTCTCAGAGCTGTCAACGATGCTGTCTACCTTTTGATAAGTGATACAATCTGAAATATCGGGTCTCAGGTCGCATTTCATTACGTTGTAATCTATATTGTATATACTGAAAGCTATTTTTCTATCATTAGCAATAGTTTGAGCTTTCAAAAGAGGTTAATTTGTTTTAAAAGATTTAGAAGAATGAAACCTTCTTGAATCGAGTGGTTCTAGATTGTAACATATGAAATTGGCGTTGAATTGCTTTCAGTTTTTGGACCAAGTTTTGCGTTTCTTATGTACTATGTTTTAATTTTAAGAATCTGTGCAATGTTAATTTATGGATTTTCTCATTTTCCCTGAGATTAATTTCTGTCAAAGTTGAAACGATTAATAATTTGCTTATGTGTATATTTGGAAATCTTTGATCATGAAATGATTCCAAGAATGTGAGTTCCAGTACTGCCTCCGGTATTGCACTTATTTTCTGTCGTATGCTGTGATAGTAGCTTTACCAGTTAGCTGTCATTCCAAATGATTTAATTAGAATCGATACATCTGTTTATATTATTTTCAACCATGTCGTTTCAATCCATGTGTTTAGAATTCGTTAAAAAACTATACGTAGAAGGTATTCTGTCGTTCTTAGAGGTGTAATACATTCTAAATGTGTAATGACTGAAGAATTCTGAGTAATGATCCCAAATGACCCTTGCTTTGCAAATGCATTTCGGTGGAATAGATGGTTACTTTTCCAGATCCTGAATTATTTGGTGGGACATTATATTCTTACGAATAGGGTAGAAAAAGGAAAGAGAAGTTTAGAACCATCTGCATATTCTTTACCAGTTATAATCCAATTTTTATGTCTTCAAATTCGAAATTTGCTGTTTTTTTTTCAGTATTTTTACAACCTTTTCTTTACGCAACGAAGTTATGAAAATTTATGTATAATTCGTAAACATACTATGACTCCCTCAGTAAGGTTTAATTATGAAGTGGTCGAATCCAAGTTCAGATTCCAAACTTTGTAGCGCAGCTGTATAATTCTTTTACATATTTTTCCTAACTTTCGGGTCATTTGAACTAGTTCAGAAAAGATGCATCCGTAGTTTATCTAGTCTTTATCCAAGAAACATTCAAAATATTTTGGAATTAGTTGGATTTTAGGTCATCATCAATGTGATATAAAACGAATCACGACGAAATGGCTAAAAGGGTCATACCTACAAGGAAGATAAGGGTTATCAATATAGTCCATCAGATCCTAATTGGTAGTGCATCCTCTGTTACGACAAATAGTTCTGCAAGCCGTATTGTGATTCGGTGATGTTACTCGAGATCAAGACAAATGCTTAACTTAATTCTTGGATTTTATTCCAATATTACAATGTCTATCCTTTCCTGGATGGTTAAGATTCGTTAATGTGTGGGATTTGCTTAATTCATTTACTGTAAGTTTATTTAACACCAATAGATTAGTCTGTAACTAATGGTAATTATTGTATTCTTGGTTTGGAGATTTTATAAATATTTTAACAACCATAAAATTATAATGAAGTTGTTAAAAAACTGATAGAATTAGTTACAGGATGATTTCAAATTTAACTTTAAACTGCATTACAACTAACAATTCGAATCATTTTGCCATTCATAAACGCTACCACAATGGTAATTTATTCTAAATACGATCATTTGAACGGAAGCGAATAGAACTTGTTTTAAAACTTTACAAAATGATTGAAACATTCATCATTTTATTATTTCATTTAGTCTTGACATCCTATAATTCTTTTTCCTTCATTTATTATTACTCTTAATTTTCGTATCTCTCTTGTCTTGAAACAAATTTGTATTTATAACGGATGGTTTAGATTAGGTAATAAATGCTGTTAGGATAAATGATTGGAGTAGAATTTAGCATATATTAACATTTTGCTTAAAAATCTTTTAAAAACCAAAAAATGTGATAAGCGTTATCATTAAATCATTAATAAAGAAGAAAAATCTTCGGGCAAAAACTAATCGACACTAAAAAAAAAAATAAAAAACAAATAGATAATCGTTTCCATTATGTGAGTAATTGATCAAATCACTAATCACATCGATTTCTCTTTATCTCTTTTCTTCTCCAATGAACCTTAAAGATTTAATTAATCTTAATTATGGTTATAAATTTTATTCATGTTTGAATTTACAGTCTTTGAAATTTCGAAAGAACAATTGAAATGTACGCAATTAATTTGCATGCTGTCTGATACAACATAGAAATTATGCGATGGTCAAGTTCTTATTTAAAAATTTTTCTTATATATTTTTCTTTTTTCTTTTTTTTTTTTTTTAATCTTTCATTTATTTTCATGCATTCACTGATTTGTTAAGAAAAAGTGATGAACTTAATGAAAAAAACGAGATGTCATTTTTAGGCCATTGATAGAGTTGCGATACGCACACATACATACATACTACGCCTACATGTATTATATTTATACAAAAGGAAAAACAAAAAAAAAAAAGAAATTTCAATACAAAGGTATTTATAAAAGTAGTCACTGATATATGTTTTTCATTCACATACACCTGATTTATTCATCCAATTTTTCTAGCTCCTGATCAGTTGTGTTTTGCATTGTCACCCTTCTTTACATTTTCTTTTTTTTTTTTTTAGAAAAAGTTTGAAATCCTCTTCTTGCCCTTGTTTCTCATTTCATCCATATCATTTTTTTTTTTTCCTCCTTTTCCCATCTTCCTTTTTTTTTTCCCTTTCCTTCACTTTGATCAACAATTTTAGTTCTTTTT